TAGGATTCCAGGTGTAAGTCAACATGTCTGGCAAAACAACAACAAAAAACAAACAAAACTCCCAAAACAATAACAACCCTCAAAACATATTTAGACAAAATATTTTCTTTTGTTTTAGAATGAGGTCCCACTATACTACCCTGGGTTATCTTGAACTCCTGGGCTTAAGCAATTTTCCTGTCTCATCTGAGAATGTTTTGTTTTATAAGTGAAGGTCTTTTAAGGTTTGTTTGTTTTTTTTTTTAATTTAAATTTATTTACTTTCTGCCTGTGTGGAGCACATATATGAAGATCCAAGGATGACCTGTTGTGGGCTTAGCTCTCTCCTACTGTCTTGGTTAGGGTTTTACTGCTGTGAACAGATGCCATGACCAAGGCAGCTCTTATACTGACATTCAACTGGGACTAGCTTATAGGTTCAGAGGTTCAATCCAATGTAATCAAGGCGGGAGCATAGCAGCATCCAGGCAGGCATGGTGCAGGAGAAGCTGAGAGTTCTACAACTTCATCTGAAGGCCACTAGGAGAAAACTGACTTCCAGGCAGCTAGAAGGAGGGTCTTAAGCCCATGACCACAGTGATACACCTACTCCAACAGGGCCTCCTACTAGTGCCACTCTCACTCCCTGGGCCAAGCATTTACAAACCATCACACCTCCTTACCTTGTCGGTCCCAGAGAAGGGATTGGGATTGGGATTGGGATCTTTAGGCTTTGTGGCACATGCAGCAGCTGAGTCAGCTCCTAACCCCGAGTGCTTGACGTTTAAATCAAGTATCTTTAAGGCAGCTCTACTTTGCTTGCTTGTGTTGTTTTTGTTCTTTGAGATAAGGTAGACTTGGTTAACTTGGAACTTACTATCTAGACCAGGCTAGTTTTGAACTCAGCGATCTGCTTGCTTTGGCTTTCTGAGCAGGGATTAAAGGTACACACTTACCAGGCCACCTGCTTTCTTTTGCTCATCTGTTTCCCCGAAACGTGCTGCTTTTTCTGTGTTCCTTCTCTTTTTTCTCCTGTGATACCCGGTGCTCAAGCTGGAAGTGAAGGTAGGTGTTCTTTTTGAATTTTTCTCCTACTAGCCTGTTTAAGTGTTGGTTCTGGGGCTGTCTCCTTTCTAATCCCAGGCTATTTCTCTCCTACTGCTTTCTTGATGACAGAAATCTGCTCTGTGCTCTTATCCAGACTGCATCTGTTCCTTCCCTGCAACTTTTCCTCACCCAGTAGGATACAGGCAGAAAGTAGATGCGTCCTCAAAGCCAAAGGCTGAAGTGAGCCACCTGCTCAGGCACCAAGTGTCATTCTCACACACACCTATTCCTGAGTCTGGCTGTCAGTTTCAGCCTCATCAGATACGATCATGGTTTTTTGGTGGTGGTGGTTTTGTTGTTATTGGTGGTGGTGGTGGTGGTAGTTTTTGTCTTGTTTTAAGATAGAGTTCCTTCTGTCCATCTTTGAACTCTCAGCTGTGATTCAAGTCTCTTCTGCCCTGAGTTCTTGCCTCTTTCTCCCACAGACATCCTATTTCCATAATTATATTGCCTCAGTGTGTGGCTGAGCTACTCGGGTATGCTCTGTAGTACTTGTTGAAAAATGGACTCTTGCCAGGCGGTGGTGGCATACGCCTTTAATCCCAGCACTTGGGAGGCAGAGGCAGATGGATTTCTGAGTTCAAGAGTTCGAGGCTAGCCTGGTCTACAGAGTGAGTTCCAGGACAGCCAGGGCTACACAGAGAAACCCTGTCTC